CACGCGCATTCTATTTTTGTTCAGACTTGTTTTAGCTATTCTGGGTCATTTGTGGCTCCATGTGAATTTTCAGACATTTTTCCTATTGCTATGAAGAAAGTCATTAGAATTTTGATTTGGAAATATCTTAAATCTATAAAGTTAATTTAGGTGGTGTGATCATTTTATCAATGTTATTTCTTCTAGTCCACAAACATATCTTTTCCATTTTTGTGCCTTCTGAAATTTGTTTTAGCTATTCTGGGTCATTTGTGGCTCCATGTGAATTTTCAGACATTTTTCCTATTGCTATGAAGAAAGTCATTAGAATTTTGATTTGGAAATATCTTAAATCTATAAAGTTAATTTAGGTGGTGTGATCATTTTATCAATGTTATTTCTTCTAGTCCACAAACATATCTTTTCCATTTTTGTGCCTTCTGAAATATTTTTCATTAGCATTTTATGTACTTGTTTTAGAAATCTTTCACTTCTTTGGTTAGATTTATTTCTCAATATTTTATTTGTTTGTAGGTATTACAAATTTCTAGTAAATTCATTACCTGAGTATAGAAATGCTACTTTTTCTTATACTTGATTTTTATATTATGTTACTTTAGTGAATTTGTTATGAGTTCTAACAATTTTTGATAGGTCATTTAAGTGTTTTAGTAAATAAAAGCATGTCATCCACAAACATAGATAATCAAATTTATCTTTTAAAATTTGAATTTTTTTTGTCTTGTGTCATTGCTCTTACTAAGAATTTAAATAGAATATTAAGTAAGAGTGGTGAAAATGTACATCCTTTTCCTTTTCCAACTAAAGAGGAAATGCTTTCTGTTTTCTCCATTCAATATGACACTGGTCATGAGTTCATTTACACATTCCTAAAACTAACTCTGTTTCATTAACCTTTTGTATATTCCTAAAGTTTTATTTCATACATTTCCCCTCTAATAGTTACTATTTCTTTTCTTCTATTAAGTTCTGACTTGTTTTCTTTCTTTCCTATGACCTTAAGGAGTAGTGTTAGGTTGTTTATATGAGCCCTCTCTGGTTTCTTTTATATATGAATAAATATATGCATATTCCCATAGTATGTATATTTGTTCAATCATTTGTGTCCCATAAGTTTTGTAGCTTTCATCAGTCTTTTAAAATTGTTTTATTTTATTTATTTTTTGAAATTTCTTGTTTGCTTCAGTTGATTTGTTGAACTGGTCCTCAAGTTCTAAAATTCTTTCTTCTGTTCATTCTAATCTTTTGTGGAAGCTCTCTTTTGTGTTTTTTATTTCATTGATTGATTGTAACTTTGAGTTCCAAGTTTTATGATTTCTTTTTCTTATGATTTCTATCTTTTTGGTGATTTACTGGTACATAAACAACATAGTTTTCATTTTTTGTATTGTTTATCCATATTTTCATGTAATTTGCTGAGATTCCTTTGGAGCATTATTTTAACGTATTTTCAAACATCTCATAGATTTCTTTTCTTTCGAGATCCTATTCTGGGGAATTATTTTTCTCTTTGTAATTGTCATGTTTCTGTGTTCTTGTGTTAATGTCCGCACAGCTGTTGTGACATTTGTTTTGTTTTGGTTTTTTCCAGTTTTAAGAAGTGGAGTCCTGGAGCAAAATAACACTAATAGGCTCTTTCTTAAGTCCACGAGAATAAGCTTGAGTAATACTGAGGCCTTTTACATCAGTAGCTGCAGTCCCACCTTGTAGGCTGGCCAGATGACCTTCCCTAGACTCTGCCAACTAAAGTGTTGGCACAGGTAATGGCTCTGGTTGTTGTGTTCATAGAGCTGTGGAACAGAGAAAGGAATCCTCCCAGTTCCCTATGAATTAGGACAAATGAAACAGGGAATGTGGTAGCAGTGTCCACTATCTGATGGCTGTGGGGTAAGGAAAAGCACTCCTCAGATCACACAAAAGAACTGAAAGCACTGGCAGAATTCCAGAGACAAAGACTTGACCAGGAATTTTTCAAGCTCTAAATATGTGGTGCTGGTGAAACTGGGAACTTCTAAAAAGTCATTTACGCCATCATTTACCTGCCCACCATATTAGTATACAGCTATTTTATGCTATGGAATTGTGTATAAAGAGTTAAAAATAAGTATGACTCCCCCCAACAAATATGATTAGCCTATTTTTGTGTTTTGAATATTGTCTTTAGAAAGATGCCAGTGTTCCTTTTTGGAAGCTGTGCAAACTCCCAATCACCTGACCAAGGGTAAAATGGCAGGATTGAAAAAGACAAGACAATATCTTACATAAATGGGGGCCCCAGGATGTTAAAGTTCTTTTCTGGCCAAGACAGTGTCTCCTGGAGCTTGCCACTATTTATTGATCATGCAGCTTCTAGAAGGGGTAAGGGACGATGCAGGGAACAGTAAGTGGGAATGCTGACCTGACCAGGTTCCTAGCAATGCGGGAGTGAAACATTTAACAAGAACAGCTCATAGATTAATGAGAAATTTGGTTCTTCCCATGGATTAGTTTTTGCCTCTCTAGCAATTTTCTGTACAAGTCAGGCTGCCCTTAGCTGCACTATTGTCTTGCCATCCAAAACGTCACAGCGTCATGTATGGCTGAGACCTCTGCTGTGACCAGTAGTTTGGGGAGTTGTTCCTTTCCCACACACCAACTGCTGGCTTTTCAGGCAGCCATTGTGGGCTAATAGGAAGTCTCAGGCTTTTAACATGAAAAGCCAATTTATAAGTTTGTGGTTTGCTCAGGGTGGTCTCCTTCAGTTCCTATGCTAATTCTTCTCGGGAAGGAAGAATGAGAGCTCCTCATGGCTCAGATCCTTTAAAAACTCCAAAGAGGTTTATACACAATTTGACTTTCACCATGGGAATTAGACTTTCTCTTAACATGAACATTTTAGATTTCCTTATAGATAATATGACTAATTCTTAATTAATTCTGGTATGTTGTTTTTAAAGCTAATGATCAAAATGGTCAATTAGTATATTTTTCTACTATTCCCAAGGAACTTTACCAGTTCTGAACAAATAAGATATTTATTATAAATGGAAAAGTATAAAGCATGGTGAGATGGAACAAAAAAGCCACTTTGGTTCAAGAAAAAATTGATAAAACTAGTTAGAAATGAAATAAGAAATGAAAAAAACTAAACACTATAATTTAATATTAAAAATAACATAGATTTCCAGACTTTAAGTTAGACCGAATTCAAATATCACTCACTTTATTTGTAAGGAAACCAGATAAATTTGTTTGGAAACGTCACTTACGTGCTGATTAAGAAGACAGACACAGTGTGTGTTGGGGGAGTGTGATTTATAAATGCTTACTTTTTTTAGTGATTATTTCTAGATTTTAAAGTGGATAAAAATTCTGCTTCAAGTAAGGCAGCACCAAAAAATTATAGGTTATAAAGAAATATATATTTTGAAATTTCATTTCTCATCGAATATTCGAGAATGTTACATATTTGCCGAACAATGAAAAGTTCACAATGTACCAATAAAACTTCTGTAAAATGAATGCAGAGTAAGTACTTCAAGTATTTTTTATTTTACATATTAAGAACTTGTAAAATAATCAATGCTATTCTGAATATATGGCCTGAGATTAAATCAATTAAATTTAGAATTGGACTAACAAAGAAAATATGTATGTAACTGATGATTAACGATTAAATATACACATTTGAAAAAATGACTATATGTTTATATTAGAACAGCACCTGGGAAAATGCTTCTCAACAGCTTTTATCAAAAACTTTATGAGTACATATGCTTTTCTTTTGTGTAAAGAATTACTTTTACTTATTAATGATATATTATTTTTCTTATATTGTAAAATCTACTCATGTAGTTAAAACAATAGAATAACTGAGTAAAGAAATCGCAAATTTCATGTCAACTTTCAACTTCATATGTACATGTCAATTTTGAGATTTATAAAGTTTTGGGGTCTAATATTCATAAAATTTACTTTCAGTGGAAAAAGTTCAAGTTGGCTGTACCAAAGAACCCAAATATTGACAGAAATATAACATTAGAAAATAACAATTTAAGAAAGATTAATTTCAGAAATTTAGTCTTGAGAAGCTAAGAAAATAGAGATGTATAAGAAAAATATTTATTTTTGAATGAAACCAAGATTACTTTCACAAGAGAGGGATTAACCAAGGATACCTAAAAACATTTTCCTGTAACAGCACTAAGATTGAAGGGGAAAGTCACATATATGGTATTGGACAATATTTTAGCATGTGCCCTCTGGTATGAACTGCCAGTGGTACATGCATGGCTGTCCCACCAGGAAGCTTATACCATTGGTGGAACAAGTGGTTCTATTCACTTTTATTAGCAATTTTATTACTAAAAAGCATTAATAAAAAGCCCACCCTGGAAAAATGTACAGGATCTTATGACAAGAAATAACTGAGCCAATATTTCTAAGAGTAAGAAAGGTCTGAATGTAAAATCATGAAAAAGACTATCCAGAAGTGGAATGAAAAAGGCTAAATCAAGCCTAGGATTCTCACTGCAAGGTAAGAGAGTTAAAGTGATAGAAAGGAACAAAGGATGTGCATTCCACTTGAGGTACTTGGTTGTATATGTCATTTTAATTACTCAAAGAATCTTTTTCTAACCATAAATTATCTTTCCCCAGATTACAAGAAATTTAGAAGGAATTAACTATGAGAAACCATACAGTGGTAACCACATTCACTCTTCTAGGACTGACAGAGGACCCAAACTGGCAAATTGTAGCTTTCTTTTTTCTATTTTTAACGTATTTATTGAGTGTCACTGGGAACCTTATCATTATCCTTCTCATCTTGCTGGATCCCCACCTCAAAACACCCATGTATTTCTTCCTTCAAAATTTTTCTTTCTTAGAACTCTCACTGACAACTACCTGTATCCCTAGATATCTAGTCAGCATAGCAACTAACGACAGGACTATTTCCTATGATGCATGTTTGACACAATTATTCTTTGCCTTTTTCTTTGGTGTGTCAGAGTTTTTCTTGTTAGCTGTCATGTCCTATGACCGCTATGTGGCCATTTGCAAGCCGCTTCATTACACAACCATTATGAACTACAGGCTATGTCATGGGCTGGTTTTTTCCTGTTTTTTCATTGGTGCATTAACTATAACTCCTGGAGCTATTGTGAGCCAGACTTTGGAATTTTGTGGTACAAGTATTGAACACTTTTTCTGTGACTATTCCCCTCTTCTGAAAATCTCCTGCACAGACACAAGTGCCATAGAATATGCAAATTTTATTTTAGCAATTTGCACACTCCTGATTACTTTGACCCTGGTAATGTCGTCTTATACAAACATCATAAGAACAATTCTAAAGATCCCTTCTAGCCAGCAGAGGAAAAAGGCTTTTGCTACCTGTTCCTCACACATGATTGTTGTCTCTATCTCTTATGGCAGCTGTGTTTTTATGTATATTAAACCTTCTGCAGAGGAAAGGGTATCTTTAAACAAGGGGGTTGCAGTACTCACAATTTCAGTTGCACCTGTTTTAAATCCTTTTATATATACCCTAAGAAATAAGCAAGTAATACAAGCGATAAAAGATTTAGTCAAAAAAATGTACCTTTGATACTTTGAAATGATGTTTGACTTTTATAAGAGTGCACTGCTAAAACTTCTCGAAAATTGTAGCTTAAGTCAGCTATGATTTCAAAATATTCCTTTATTTTTATACTATACTAGTGACTCAACTCATTCATAACTATCCATTTAATCTATTCCTGGATTTTTAACATTTTGATCATACTATCTGCATCCATTGTTTTCTCTTATCCACTCCACAATCACTTCTTCTCACAAAAAATTCTGATCAATTTCATTCTGACAATATTTTATTATGGATTTATTTAAGATATCTCATATATATTTATGCTTTTCTAGTATAGATGCATCCAGATCATAGATCACTTATGAAGTCTTTAAACATTAACTTATTTCATTTTATAAACCTGTAGGGATATTTTTCTTGTCACATAAGATTAACTTTTACAAAAATATATTTCTCATAAGCAACCTTCTTTCTTTCCTTTCTTCCCATTTTTTTCTGGTCTTTTTAGTGGCTGAGTGATAGTTTTCCATATTTTTTTGTCTTTTCTGCAATGTTTTGTATACGTTCCATCAGTGATGTCACTTTACTATGCATTTTCAGAAAAGAAGGTAACAGATGTTCATGCATACTTTGCGCTCTGTAGCTAAAATTTCCTCTTACAATTTCTATAGATGATTCATCTTCATTTTTAAATTGGGAAACCAATAAAGCAAGATGTATCTTTAAAGCATAATATATCATTCCAGATGATTTTTTTTCATTACCAGAACCACTCTAAATGCCCAAGTTTACATTACTTTTACATTAGATTACATAGTAAATGTTCTGTTTTTAAATATTAATATTATACGAAGGAAAACAGTGCACTGCCTCATTCATAAAAACATACCAGGGACATTAGTTTGTATCCACTGATGGTGAATTTATACATCAATATTGTAGAGTTATTCTATTTTTACAGTGAAATCTATAAAATTCAGATGTGTATACCTTTTGTGGCAATGAAGCACCAAACTAAAATCTGAAGCACTAAATGGAATTATCATACTTTTTTTTTTTACAAATAGAGTATATAAGGGAAAAGAAAAAAAACATGAGAAAATGAAAAAAAATGGAAATAAAGTTGTAAATAGGGAAGGGAGGAAGGGGTGAAGGGAGGGCAGGGACAAGGAGAACCAAGACCTTTCATGTAAAGGTACAAGATCCCAATGATAAATGTAACTGTACTGTATACCTAAAATGTACCGATAAATTCAATGAGGAAAAAAAAGTATACATAAATATATATTTTATAAATATATACTTTATAAAGTTATAAAAACCTACAGTTTGTAGAGTTTCCTACCTCTATTTAAAGAGGTAAGAAAATAGTTGAGTTACCTTTATTTCATGTTGCACTATGAAAAGATAACCTCATGTCGCCTTATTGGGTCTAAATATGTATAGTGCAAAAATCAGATTATATTTATTAGCAGAACCATAGAGAATGTCATATAAAATAAATCCCAGTTTAATTTTTTTAAAAGCCAAAGCGGATCATTCCTGATTTCAGTTTCACTGTATGTAATCTCTATTAATACAATATTTATCTCAAAAATATGATTTAACTTTGTGTCACCATAAAAAGGAATTAGGGAGATAAATTTTGTTCAAATGGGAAGGAAATTAAGAGATGGAGGAAAGGGGAGAAAGATGAGGAGAAAGGGATGAAAAAATGAATTATGATGTATTATGCATGTGTACCAACTCCCCATGAAGAATGTAATCATTATACAATGCAAACATGTACTAATAAAAATAAAAACAATTATATATTCTTTCTTTATAAAAATGTGTATGTATGTATTTATTTATTTAATAAATATTAGTCATTTTTCAGGCTGGAAATATAGTGTAGCCTATGCCCATAGAAAAATAATAGTTTATAATTTACCAAAAATTATAACATTATGCACCATATTCTTAATATTTTGTGAAATACTTGTTTATAGATCAAAATATCTCTTTCACACTTTTAATATTGCAATTATTTTAGTGAAAATTAAATTTTTATTCTTTCTTTATAAAAATGTGTATGTATGTATTTATTTATTTAATAAATATTAGTCATTTTTCAGGCTGGAAATATAGTGTAGCCTATGCCCATAGAAAAATAATAGTTTATAATTTACCAAAAATTATAACATTATGCACCATATTCTTAATATTTTGTGAAATACTTGTTTATAGATCAAAATATCTCTTTCACACTTTTAATATTGCAATTATTTTAGTGAAAATTAAATTGTATAGTATAAAATGCACTTTCCAATAAGTATATAGCAAAATGAATTTGTCAAATACTGTAAAACCTTGGATTGCAAGTAACTTGCTCTGAGAGTATTCTTCAAGACAAGCAAAGATTTTTTAAAAACTTTAACTTGATAAGGAAATGATATCTGGCAATACAAATACCATGACAGGCTGACTGTCACAGGATCACAACTGAGCCAGTAGTCCCCTCTCTCTCCTTCTCCTTCTCCTCCTCTCTCTCCCTCTCTCTCTCCCTCCCTCCGTCCCTCCCTCCCTCACTCCCTCACATTATGGGTGATCATCTCCCAACTGTAAAAGGTTACAGAGAAGACCATGTCTTCAAAAGAATACAAGAAAAGGCAGAGGAATCCCTCACTGCAAATGAGGTCAGGCAGCTGTTTGAAATGTAGGAAAATGCAAAATTGTGTAGAAAAGTACCACCCAAATAAAGCTGTAGCAGTGTGAGCAGTGAATCTGATTAATGTCAATTCAATGTTACAGGCAAGGTAATTTGTTTATTTTTTTAATATTTTGTATTATATTACAATGTTATCATTTTTATATGGATTTTTTGGGTTGTGGAATGAATCATCTGAGTTTCCACCTATTTCTTATGGGGAAATTTGCTTTGATATACAAGTGCTGTGGATAACAAGCACGTTTTCAGAATGAATTATGCTTGCAAACTAAGGAAGAAGGTAAATGCAAATTAGTTAAAATGCATACTGTGTGCTACTAAGCAATCTTGAAAATATAAATTATGTCAATATGTAAGCTGTAGAAAAACAAATAATTACAAATTCCCATTAGAGTTAGGGGAGGGTAGAATAATAGAAAAATATCAAGGAACAAAATTTATCCTTAACATAAGGCTTGATTTTAAGTTTTAAATTTATGGTGGCTTAAAAATTACAGGAACATAGTAGACATTGTGCTTCAATTTTTATTGTATTTCATTTATTGTACGAGGTTCATATCCAGGGCTTTACATATGTGTGGCAATGTCTCTACCATTATCCATATCCCTTTTATTTCTTTTGTCATTTTTCTCATTGCTGTCACTAATGCCTTGAGAGCTATATCAAACAGAAGAGATGACAGTGGACATCTTTGTCTTGTTCCTGATTTTAGAGGGAAAGCTTAAATAGGTTTTTGAGTACTTGCATAAAGTTCATTCTTTGTACTATGATGTTCAATGAGTTTTGACAACATAGTGACATTCATTCACCACTATAGCATGTGTGTATATTTAATTCCCTTAAAGTCACTTTGCTTCATTTATGTAAACTTCCCTTTTTTTCCCACCAATCCCTGGTAACCACTGATTCTTTTACTTTTTTTTAGTTTTACTGTTCCTAGAATTTTATATAACTAGAGCTATACTGTATGTCACCTTCAAAGATAGGTTTCTTCTACTTAGCAATATGCATTGGGTCTATCTATGTATTTTTGTAACTTGGCAGCTTATTTTTCTATAAAAAATAGTGTTTTAATGGAATGCACCAGTTTTTTAATCCATTAATTTATTGAGGAGCTTCTTGAATGCTTCCAGTTTGGGGTAATTATAAATAAAACTGTATGAACATTCCTATGCAGTTCTAATATGGACATTATTCCTAGTTAGATAAGTAAAAACGTGGGACTGCAATTTCTGGTTTATTCAATAAAACTTAATTAAATTTTAAAAGTGACTGCTGGGCCAGGGATTTAGCTCAGTGGTGCAGCTACCTGCCTCAAAAGCACAAGGTCCTGAGTTCGATCCCCAGTACCCCCGCAAAAAAAAAAAGTGACCTCTATCTTGAATTCATTAACAAGGAATGGGAGTAGTAGAAGTCTTATTACTTTGAATTCTCAATAGTAATTAGTATTGTAAATGGCTATTTTCCATGCTGGGCTTTTTTGTTTTGTTTTGTTTCATTTTCTAGTACCAGGGATTGAACTCAGGACCTTGAGTTTGCAAAGAAGGCATGGTGCTACTAAGCTAAATCCCCAGCTAATTTTAATTTTTTCTTGCACATTTTGGCTAATGATCCTTTATTAGAAATATCTTTAAAATATTTCTCCTGGTATATTGTCTTATTGTCTTAACAGTGTCTTTTGCCAAGCAAATTCAATTTCAATGAAGTCTAGCTTTTCAATTATTGCTCTAAGAGAGTGCATCTTTGCTGTTGTAACTAAAACATCGTCATACTCGAGATCTTTGACCACCAGAGTATAAGAAAAAGAATATAATATCTTATAAAAACTTCATAATTAAAACTTTTCCTTAGGTCAGTGGTTATTTGTTATCATTGCATGGGTTTCAGTGTTTCATGAGTGATTATTCCTCTGCTGAGAATATGTTTTTATTTTTAGCTTTTTTTTTTTTTGGTAACAGGGATTGAACTCGGGTCCTTGTGCTTGCGAGGCAGGCCACCAAACCGCTGAGCTAAATCCCCGGCTTAATATTTAGAACTTAAAGGATGTTCCACAGGAATATAGATTGATAATGTTCATATTCATTCACTAAACATATGTTTATTGTTTTACCACACTAATGATTTTCACTTTCAGATTTCAGTTTCCTTATAACAATCTTAAAAAAAGCAAATTGATATTCTTTCATTTCTTTATAGATTGCTCAATAAAGAACTCCTAATTAAAGGTAATTACATTTTAATGTTTGTTTTATGACAATATTGCATAAAAATATGCTTGGGGGAAAATGTAGGCCATTTCATGGAAGGACA